AATATTATATTGTATTGATAGAAAGTATTCTCATTTTTCCCACTGGTAATGAATATTCAGTACAAAATGTGAATAACTTAAGAAATTTCGGGAGATTTTGCTTGTTTTTGAACAAAATTTGTCTGTATTGAAAATGAGTTTTAATCAAAGATACCATGACTATTATTATCTCTGAATTTTGGCCACCTTTTAACTAGCTGCATATTTCAGACAGTGTAGAATTTCTGTTTTTTGTCGGCCAAGAGCTTGGCTAAATGATTACCAGCTCCAGTGTTGTTGGACAATTTTTATACCATTAAGAGAGTTCTGCAGAGACTGAAACAAATGATTGTCAGATGGTGATAGGACTATATGGTGGGTGTATCAAAACCATCAATAGTCATGAAAGATATACTTATCCTGGGATTTTCATGATAAAATACAATAGTTTTTCTATTATTACACTCTGAACGCCTTTTTAAGTGTTTATTAAAAGCTGAATTGAGCATTTTGCCACTTCCAATCCCCCTCCAACATTACCCTGCTGTCCGTCAATATAGGCTTTGAAGTCATTGGTTAAGGAGGATCGTCGTATCAAAAAATTTTTTTTTAGTTTTATATTCCCCTATGTTCTAAAGGTGTTTTACCGATTTGATCGCGTTTTCCAAGCGCTTCACTTATGCTTACTTGGTCCAAAAATTGCGCTTGATTGAGCAGACAGTCTTTTTAAAAAACTCCAAATATCGACGTGAGTGTTGTGTCTTCGTTATCTCTTGAAAACCGTCTTGCGCTACCAATTACACAATTTCATCAGTTTTTTCAGTAACTGGGAGACCACTTTTAGGTCCAGCGCTCACTTAGAGTGTTCTGACTACAAGCCACACAAATTCACACAAATTAGAGTGTTCTGACTACAAGCCACAAAACAACTTTTCACACGAGTGACAATTTATCGAATGGTCTTCGCCAAAAATAGTGCTTAACCCTACAACTAGTGAAACAAAAATTCTAGTCAAATACCAGTATTTTAAAGATGAAATAATACTAGTTTGTTATTTATAAAGAAGACCCTCAGTAACCGAATAATAATTTCCACCACCGTTTATATCCTCATGATATTCCAGTTCTCTTGAACTGCGCTGTTTTCGTTGCTCTCTACATAAAACCATAGCTTAGTGGATAGAGGTCTTTTCTGTGGGGAGTGCGGGACTCTCATAGCCAGCAATCTCATTTTCATTTTACTATTTTCTTTTTTTGATGAAGTATAAATTAAATATGCCTAAATGAACTAGTATTTAACTAGTATGAAGCTGATGTATAGTAGGACAATTGTTAGCTCGTTGCACAGCGCCGTGTTAAAAATACCAGTTGCTTACATGGAAGATGAACTATTGTAGTTGGTGTAAAAATGGTTGACAAGTAGTATTTGCCTCTGCATGGAAATGTCAGCTTTCACACCGGCAAAGGTATTTATACAATCGAATCAGTGTTGTTTCATATAAGAGTATCAACGTTAAAAATAACTCTCAGCATTTTTTTTTACATATAAGAGCTTTATTTATTGCATTTGTTCAATCAACTATTTAATAGTTATATAATTATTATCGATAATTTCGAAAGCCACTAGAGTTGAAAAAGATGTGAAATCGCATACTCGCACATTTTGTAATAATGACTACATAAAGTTGTATAGAAAGGGGTGTGTAAATATGTATTTAATAATCGATTTACTTACAGTGCAAATTTTATTTTTATACATCAATCTCGTTTGGCGAACTTAATAAATATAAATATACTTAGATTCATATGCATATGTATAAGCGCTTACAAATATGTACAAACTTTCAATGCAACGGTTTATGGTATTTTTTTTTTGAAATTTATATGGAGTTTCCGTGCAAGAATATTTATTATCTTTCTATTGTGCATACCCTTGAAATTTTTTATAATTGTCATTTATTCGTCTTAATTCAGTATCTTTATTAGTTCGTTTGAAAAGAAACAAAATGCAAAAAAAGTTATTTATTTTGTCTGCTTTGATCGTTATTATCGCAAATATTTATAGGTTGATGTGGCAATGTCAGTAGTTGTAGGGAATTAATTTAGAAAAAATTCAACACTTGCTTACTGACTTTGTATGAATTATTATTACATTTCCATTTTAATTTTTACTATTTAAGAAATAAATATTTAAAATTAATTAAAAATAATATCCCTCCAACACTTATGATATTTTAGCTATGTGTAAAAGGTAGAGTGTTCGTAGAAATAAAATCGATGTTTTTTTTAATCATATACATATCTAGTATGAAGGCCCGTAGCAAGTAATTTCTTCAGAGGATTTATGAAATTTTTACAACGTATTGTAATCCATTTCAGGTAGTAGTCTGGTAACTTGAAATAGAAGAATCTACTTTTTTCCAAAGTACCATAAATTAAGAATACACTCTACAAGTTTTGGACTGAAATTCGAAATATAGGCGAAGTTATAGCATCCTATTAATGAGCATCTCGTAGTAGGACGCGCTGAGCCGCAAGGCAAGACTTATTTCTTCCTATACACTCACTTTAAAGCTCATTTTTATATATCGAAATTTAAAGCGAATATTCGGTATATGCTCGTTATTTTATGCGAAATTATCCTCGAAGCGCGAAAATGGTTCGAAAGGAAATAAACGCAATACTAGGAATCGAAGAGAATGCGGGATGAAAAGAAATTGCATGGCAACAGACATAACATCGAACAATATAAAAGTTTTGCTACTACTTATGCTCAAAAATTAAGAAATCAAGATTTCAGTACATCAGGTACAAGGTGACCATGGAGGTCAAAATCGGAACGCATGCTATGGCTTACGCAAGACTGTACAAACACACTCGGATTTCAAAAGCGAAAAAGCACGCAGTTTATCTTTCTAAAATGGTCAGAATGCGTTACAGGTCAGAGGTCTATGAACAAATTGAAGATTTATTATACACACCAGGGTTGGGCGATTGATATGTAATAATATAATTCTATGAAATATATTAAATTTGTTGTTGAAACCTTCAAAAAAGATGAGAGAAAATTTTCTATTTTTTCTAATGGGTTGAAATTTTAATATGTTTTGCCAATCATCAACAGCTCTCGCAAGAACTAAGCTCATTTTTATTGCTCTCTGATTTCTACTTAAAAAAAGTCACTCTTTTACCGAATTCAAAAATTTTGCTATTTTCAACGAAATTGTTTAACCCTGGTTCCCATTAGAATGATAAGCTCACAGAACAATAATATTCTTGATTTTCCTAATTCAGTTGTCCTAAGGCGTCTAACTCACTGGGTCAAACTACCTGCTTTTTTTTGTTTAAGAGGATCAATTCAGTGTTACGGTACAAAAAATTTCAAAAAAATGGAAAAACATTTTTTTCGTACTTGCTGAGATGCTATTCAAATGAAATATTCCCCAAGTAGCGTTAATAAGAATGCAAGTTAGTAGAATACTACTTGAAATGTTAAACGCTAATAAAAAATCAGCTTTTTCATATAAGAAAATAGTAAAATAAAAGAGTTAAATAAATTTAATAATAATTGTCAAAAATCGAATTTCAAATTCTTATTATGGCACATTCAAAGTTTGCATAATTTAAATGTAACATTGAAATTACGAATTACAAAAAAGAAGATTGGTTTCTTTGGCTTTTCTTAAATCTATTATAAAACCATACAGAAATATGTTTTTAAAATTTCAGTAGCCAATTCGACATATTCGTATTTTGAAAGCTAGAACTGCCGAGCGTCGAGCAGGTTCAAATACCCAAGCAGAACTTTGAAGCGCGTTTTCAGGAGTTTGCATTTTTACCAGTTCACCAAAACGGTGCCGGTGATAGAAAAAAGAATATATGTCCGATTGAATAAGATCGAAGTGATTTAGCAAACAAATTGGACAAAAGTATAAGTTAAACTATTTCTTTTTGGATTGAAATTAATATTTTTTAAAGTTCGTAAAAATTTGGAATTTCCAACTTCTTTGGTATTTTTTCGTTCATATTGAAGAGACTCTAATAAAACTAAAAAAAGAAATAATGCGACTGTTCCAGATACATCGCATGACCTCCTTCAACGGCACGGTTTCAAGTGCTTAGACAGTAGCCGCTTCAGAAAACTAATCATGAGATTTGGAAAATTCCAATATTTTTTTATACCAAAAATTGGTTTGCAAGCTTAATTATAGTACATTATGTTACATATATGACTGAAAATTTTGTTTTACCACAATTTCTTTCTACTCAAAAACCAATTGCGGAAAAAACACTTTCTTTCGGGTTCTAAAGGAGATGCGGTCTTACTGCCTAAGAATGGTGAACACTCCGTAGGTTTACAACAAATACTGTCTTTCGCCTGTTGATCCGCAAAACGAGTTGAGGACATTTAATTATCGAAAAGGCTCATTCTGCAGTAAGCGTGGACACAGGCTGTGTTACATAGGGTTTTAATAAACAGAAAATTGTTGGAAAAGTTAATATTGACACTCACTGACTTTCTCATAACAAATTTTTATGGCAATCGTTTCGGTGTTAAAATTTTTTGAAATATTTAGTTTGCCATCAGTGTTGCGTGAAAAAACATCGTTTAATGAAACTAGTTAAGGAAGGAAACTTTGATAATTTTGGGTTGGTGAAACCATCATGGGCGTGGCCCCGCTCCTATGTATTATGCTAAAGTAGTGTTCAAAGTATGTATGATTCCTACGTAAATGCATTCTACGTTTTTATTAGCAAAATTGTGATGAAAGTTATTTTAATACGAATTATTCTCTTGTTAAATATTAAAGAAAAATTCACGCAAAAATTACTCATATTTTTCTTATATTTTTATTAAGAGGAAATAAGCATATCTTTTATCATTAGTTTACGATTTATATGATTATTATTATAATGACTTAATAATTAATAAAAAAAAACAGAAAGATTTTAGTGTGAAAAATTTTGATGAGGTAATAAATCGCTTAATATTTTTTTTATTATAATTTCTTAAAATTTTTATTAATTTTTCCAATATTCAATTTATACAGAATTTACATCCGATATGAGAAATGATTTATCACAGATTTTTCTTTTATGCCATCGAAAAATAAAACAATATTTTAATTAAGATGTATATGTAATCATGATAAATTACCGTTTGTATGTATGCTTGTACACGTATGTTTGCCTTGCAATGACGTTCCAATATACAATATGGTCATATGTATTGTATGTAGATGGTTAAGTGTCTCAAAAATGGCCGTTAAGTCGAATACACTCAAATGAAAAGTTTACGCTTTGTGTGTGTGGTGTTGGGGATGAATACAAATGTATGTACAATATGTATTTGCGAAATTTATTTTGGTGTTTTCAGTATCTAATGCAAAGTTTATAAATAGCTCGCCTTATATATATATATGTATACACTATATGTATGTACTTAAAAATTAGTTCGCTTTTTTCTTTCAATTATTGTGTGCTTAATATTGTTGCCATAAGTATGCAAGTAAGTATGTATGAACTTTGAAAATACCCTCTATAGCAAATTACTTATACATCACTTCAATGTGAACCAACCAACAACAATGAACACTCGAATCGAAACAATCAACTAGTCGAACAATCTTATCACTTTATATCATTTACGAATGCTTTTAATATAATATAATATAAGTACGCTTGTACGCATGTATGCTTGTGTATGTATGCATAGCCCAATATCAGACGTACTTATACTATAAGATGTATGAACACTTTATGTGCGCCTTATTCAACGTGCGTCTCTCGAAGGCAGACGTGTTTGCCAAAACATTTGCTGTAAATTGAATATTATGCCCCCTTCAACCCGCTTCAACGTCTCGCATATTGACAACAGACAGCGCTGCGAGGCACTCGTTGCGTCGGCAGGCCGGATATGCCCTTCAGATATGTATAGGAGACTGGCTGACGGAGTATACGTTGCGGCGGTGGCTTCGTTTTGCCTTTCGAGGATTTTAATGTCGTCGATGACGTAGTTAAGGCAGACGCCGATGCCGATAAGTGTGAGCTAGATGCCGATTTTGACGTTGTAAAGCCAGTAAAAGCAACACTCCCAGCGCCACCACAGCTCGACTGTGATTTTCTGTTCAACTCAACATTTGAATTATATTTAAGTGCCGATTTGATGGGCGTGTTGCTGCTGCCATTTGATTGTTGTTGTGTTGTGACAGTGTGGTTGGCGCCGCTGCACGATAGTGAACGTGTTGACAATGTGAAACTCTCGAACGCTCGTCGTATGGATGAGGTGGAGCGACGATGGAGTCGTGAAAAACTAGCGCGTGCACTGCTACGTCGCTCCTTTTCTGTTGGTGATTTGGCAATGGTTGTCGGTGTATGAGCTTGCTGCTCCTCAATGTCAGCAGTGCTGCTTGTCTCGCTGGAGGTACACGATATATGTTCACTGCTGGTGCCGTGACCATGCTTCACATTAGCACCTATTTCCAAATGTGTATTACAGTTATGGCAATTACTGTCATTGCCGCCATTTGACGATGACGTATTTGATGCGCCGGTTGCGCACTGTATTGTGGGCTGTGCACTTGTATTGGAGGAGCAAGAATCGGTCGAATCGTCTTCGGCGTTGGTGAAAACTGGGTCATCGCCGGAGCGTAAGAGGCCAAAGCGGCGGCTGAGTTGCTGAAAGAAGCTCATATTGCGGTCGTAGCGTGGACTTGGCGATTGACTGTTTGCACCGCTGTAATTGGCACCGGGCGAGAGGCTGCATGGTGGTGTGTCCTTGTTTAGATCGGCTTGCAACGTCATTGTTGTGGACGTGCCGTTGGTGTTGGAGTCGGATTCAGCGGCGCTATGCAGTGCGTAAGCTCTGCCAGTGGCATTTGAAATGCTCAGTGTTGATGCTGCTAAGGTTGAAGTGGCGTTTGTGTAGTGCGGCACGTCAGTGAAACAGACATGCAAGGTACCCATTTTAGGCTGAAGTTTGTTGTTATTTATTTTTAAATATAGTTATTTTTAAATATAGTTATTGTTATTATTTATCAATAAATTGAGATTTTCTAAATATTTTTTTTTAAATTTTTATGTCTGTTTTGAAACCAATATTTAGTTTAGGTATTTTCAAAAACACTAAAGCACAAAAGTTTACACACCCCTTACTTGAATTTTCTTTGTTTTATACGTATTTTTGTCACTTTGTTGTTTTTGTAGTGAGTGTATTGTGTTATATCACTTTGCCGTATACGTTCAAACCGTTTCGCCGTTCGACGCCGCATGCCATTGTTTTCATGTTGCGGCTTCTTTATATAGCCTTGGCCGGCAGTTGCTGCAAAGCTGCAAAAAATCTGCACAGAGCATTGCTCATGCATTGTCGCTCACAAAACATATAACGCAGCTCTCGCGCTCATTTCACTTGCAATTGTCCTGTGTAAACACCACCCTGTGAGCGACACTTTTTATATATTATATTTATGTACATATACCTTACTATAATTATTAGATAATATCCTATTGAGAGTTGCCAAGTAAATAAGATATTTTCTTGTGAAAACAAATAATAATTCATACGTTTTTTTCACTTGAAGAATAGCATTTTAAAAATGTTACGTATACGCCAAGTACAATATCTATTGTATGATATTAGGTTGTCAAATATCTCCCTTCCGCTTTTTGTCTTTTGAATTTCGCGGCTATGACAAAGCGCTACAGAGCTCGTACCAACACTACATAATTTGAAAGGTCTTGACATAACCTACAAAACAACGCTATGCATGATTAGTTTGGATATTGCGTTCAACAGTTATAGACGTGTAAACATGGAGTTCACTAACGCCGAAATTCGCGCTATTTTAAAGTTTTCCTTCGTTAAAGGCAAATCCGCTAGAGAAACGTTCCGTGAGATTAATGGTGTTTTGGGGGCTGGTACTCTATCACTTCGAACCGCGGAGGAATGGTTTCGACGATTCAGAGCCGGTGAAAACGACACCATGGATAAGCCAGCCGGCGGAAGACCTGTGACGACAAATACCGATCAAATCATGGAATACATCGAGTTAGACCGGCATATGGCATCTCGTGACATCGCCCAGGAGATGGGAGTTAGTCACCAAACCATTTTGAACCATCTGCAGAAGGCTGGATACAAAAAAAAGTTTGATATTTGGGTGCCGCATAATTTGACGCAAAAAAACCTTCTGGACCGAACCAACGCCTGCGATATCCTGCTGAAACGGAACGAACTTGACGCATTCTTGAAGCGGTGGTGACTGGCGACGAACAATGGATCACATACGACAATATCAAGCGAAAACAGTCGTGGTCGAAGGCCGGTGAATCGTCCCAAACAGTGGTCAAGCCGGGATTGATGGCCAGGAAGGTTTTGCTGTGTGTTTGGTGGGATTGGAAGGGAATAATCCACTATGAGCTGCTCCCATATAGCCAGACGCTTAATTCTACCATCTACTGCGAACAACTGTACTGCTTGAAGCAGGCGATCGACCAGAAGCGTCCAGAATTGGCCAACAGGAAGGGTGTAGTGTTCCACCAGGACAACGCCAGACCACAAACTTCGTTGATGACTCGTCAGAAGCTACGGGAGCTCGGATGGGAGGTTTTATCGCATCCACCACATAGCCCGGACATAGCGCCTAGTGATTACCACCTGTTCCTGTCCATGGCGAATGCCCTTGGTGGTGTGAAGTTGAACTCAAATGAGGCTTGTGAAAAGTGGCTGTCCGAATGCTTCGCAAATAAGGAAGGGGGCTTCTACGAGGCAGGTATTATGAAGTTGCCGTCTAGATGGAAACAGATCATCGAGCAAAACGGCGCATATTTTAACTAAATCCGATCACTGTAACACTTTTTATAAAGCATTGAATGAAGAGCAAAAAAGTGGAAGGGAGATATTTGACGACCTTATATTATATATATGTATGTATTGTTTGCCCCAAATTTTACTTTATTATATGCTCAAAGGAAAAAATGCAGCGCAGCCTGTCAAAAGTTGCATTACTTGTACGGTGATAGGGACTTAAAACAAACACAGTGTCGAAGTTGATTTGTCAAATTCCGGTCTCTCATCAAAAACTGAGAGAGCTTGGCTGGGAACTGTTCAAGCATACACCATTTAGCTCTGATCTTGCCTGATCTCGTCAGACTACCATTTGTTTCGATCTTTGTAGAACTCTTTAAAATGGTAAGACATTGGAAAATGACGAGGCTTTAAAAACGCAATTGGTTGAGTTGTTTGCAGATAAAAGCCAGAGCGTGGAATAATGATAAAAAAGAAAATACATAATTGATTAAGGCTCATTATTAAATTAAAAAAAAATTATTTAAATTCTTTTAAAAAATATCCGGTCTCTTAGGGCAACCTAATATTATATTAAATAAACCCATTGCTGACCATCGAAGCATATTTTTACCAATTTTGTAAAATATCGATTTGCGCGAAATTCTGTTCAAATTTCTTTACAGTTGTATTATATACTATATTCTTCAAAATGTTTTTTTCTGGAAATTTTCCGGAAATGACAGTTCTTGAACTAATAAAAACCCAAACAAAAAACTCCATTGCCGACAGGTATGTATTAAAGCGGTTAACTCCACAACCGCCAACCCGTAGGTTTTGAATTTTTTTTTATAAATAGCTTTGCCAAAACACTGATTTTCCGATAAGCCGATCGGCTAGCACTTAGTACAACCGTGCAGAGGGAGATGAACCCGAGCTCTGGTCAAATTAATTGTTGGTTACAATTAAAGTTTTGTAAGAATAAAGCTTTTATAGAAGATGCAGGTTCATTGGAAAAGCCTTAAGAATATGAAGAATTTTTACACAAATTACATATGTATATGTACATATATGTACATAGATACATACATATTAATATGTATCCGCAATATTTACCCCCATACATTCTCTCAGTCACTCCATTTCCTTGTTGAAAATTTTCTACGCTACATAATATATTTAATCTCTCTCTCTCTCTCTCTCTTGAAAATCACAATTCCCTCACATACATTGTTCCACTGCATTTCTGGTTGCTCTCAGAAGTCATTGTCCTTTTACAATTTCTGCGAAGTACTCTGATATGCACTGAAAACTCAAAGTGAAAAAGTCCTGTTGGCTTCTGGCTATGTGCAAAAGTGTATTATTTTTGAAATGTTAACGAAATTTAAGAGAACAGAACCAAAGCACATTTGCCCTCAAATGTATGTAGAAATGAATGTATGTGTATGTACTTTACAGCATCATTAAATTATCAAACGTTTCTTTTTAGTACTTATACACACTTCGCATTTGGTATATATATACATAAATATATATATATATATATATCTTTATGGAGGAATTAAAAAAAGTTCGGTCAGTTGGTGACTTTCAATTTGTTTTTGTCAAATCTAAAAATACCAAATCCTTTGAAATTACTTTTTTAGTCCTCCTTTCCAATTTAAGAACGAGAAAACGCAAGATAGCTGAGGAAAGGTGAGACGAAACTCCACCATCAACGCAAACTTCCGTTTCATCATGTGATTCTGCCAAATTGCGATTGCAGGGTTAAGGACTGTTTCTAACTGATTCCGAAGATTTCAGACCATCCAGACATTTTTCCGTAGAGGACGATCCCAGAGAACGTCGACCAAAATATTCGACTGATGACGTGACTGTAGCTCTGGTGAAGTCCAAAATTGACGGCGACCTACGATTGATACAAGAAATGATTGCTTATGAACTGGGCATGAATGTCATGGCTGTATCTCGAATATTAAGTAATTATTTGGGATAAACGAAGAAATCTGCTCAATGCGTGCCACTAATTTTAAGAGAGGCCAAAAAAGAGATTCGTGTACGTTTTTCTCAATTGAAACCAAACAGCAATTCATGGTATGGATGCCTAAAAAGCAAACCCACCCGTAAAATCCAAGCGAAAAAAATCAGCAGCAAAGTAATGATGTCAGCTTACTTCACTCGATCTAAAATCGTAGCTGGCGCTCCAGTAGGAAAGGGTAGCTGCAAAATTCTGAAAATGCAAGATTTGGAAGATTGTTTTCAGAAGTGGATCTATAGACTTAAAAAGGAAATGCATTGAAGTCAATAGCGTTTATGTAGAGAAGATAGAAAAGGATATACAAAAATAAATTTTTGTAGTTTTTGTTTTTTGCCAATTTATCGAACTTTTGTTAGTCCCCTCTTAACTCAAAGTTTGCTTCGTGTTTGTTTCATTACATATCAAATTTCACTGTTGCAAATAACGTAATCATTAATATTTCATTATAAAATTCGACAAACAAATTTCTAAAGGTGCATACTTAATTTTACCCTTTTACAGAGAGTATCGCTTTCTTGCCTTCGCTTGAAAATATTTCTAAATAAATGTGCATAATAATGGTCGAGAGATAAGTCATTATGAATGTAGTAACAACTGTTCAACAATATAAGGTGTCCGAAATTTGTGGAATTAAAAACATTTGCAGACAAAAAAAGTTTGGCACGAAAGTATGGTTAACCGAAATTATTAAGTGTTTGCTAAGCAATGAGAAAGTAAAAAGATGTTTGAGCTTACTCTGGCTTACATTTTCTTAAATTTTCCATTGCTTAATCTTCTTAGATAAAAGCTCTATTTTAGGAAACAAATCTACTTGCTGCTGTGGTTGCGGTAAGAAGTTTAAAATTAAGTATCTGCAGTCGTAAGGAAGTTACTTGTAGGGCGGACACACTCACACTCATGAACTACTATGCCACTTTTTTGGAGATATTTGCTAGTTATAAAATAAGTTTAGTTTCCTTATCGTAATTTCTTTATTATTATTTATTGTTGTTTTGTAATCGATAGAGCATCTCTTTGAATTTTCGGTGTGCACTTTGATGCTTTTTTCATTAAGGAATTTTTTCACACTCCCTGACGATGTTCGACCGCAATTGGAACTAGAAAATGTGCTGTCTAGGGCCATGCTAAATTCCTTATACCTTTCATGAGCATATCAATATTATT